TATACAAGATCCAGGAGTGAATACAGCATGCAGAGAAGGCTGCAGACCGTGGCACTTGGTAGGGGAAATGAAGGGCTAGAGAGCATCTTATTTACTCTCCATGTGAAAAGAATGTAGAAGGGTGAGAGGACAAGGGCTTTTGAGGATGTGGGACTTGAACTATGCCTGGGGCATGGGGTTAGAGACCAACAGGAGAGAGGAAGGCATTTCCAGGAAAGGGAGATTGTACCACGGTGAGAAAGGTAGGTAGCCATGGGGGAAAAGGCAGATGGGGCCCTGAGGAGATGCCTCCGAAGCAGGCGGTGGATGAATTAAGTTGGGGAAGAGGTGGGGTTTGGCTCTGAAGACCAAGCAGAGGCTCTCGAATCTGGTATGACATGCAGCAGACATTTGTCATTACTATGTATGTGTCAGAGAGGGAGAGGCAAGGAAGGAGTGGGGACCTGTTAGGTACTTAATTTGGGTTGAGCAGTAGGACTAGGAATACAGGAAGCCAGGTGACAAGGGAGACAAGGATCCAAGTTGTCTTCTCTGGAGTGTGAAGGACCCCGACTAAAGTGCAAGGTTGTATGTTTTGAGGAAAATAGCAGGTGTCCACAATCTGGAAAATGATGCACAGAGGAAGCTCCCAAGTTTTCAGGCCCAAGATTCTGAAGAATGGAAGGGCCCCTCAGTGACGCACCATGGAGGGGTTCGGAAGGAAGTCCCTTGAGCACAAAGTCTAAGTCTTATAAATGTGGTCCCCATGTACAGTAACTGACACTTAGCAGACGCTTGATATATTTTAATGAACAAATGAACGTGGACTTGGAAGCAACAATTGGACACTCCAAAGGCAACATTCCTTGGACAACTGGAACACAAACTGAAGGACAGAGTGCCAATGCCCCACCCCACTTCCAGCATCCACAGGATGGAGAAGAAAAAATAGTAACGCTAACAAAGAAGAAACAATCAGAGAGGTAAGAAAACAAGGGAAGTTTGTATCTTGGAATCTTGGGGAGAATTGGAAGTTTGGTGGCATCCCCAAAGGCCACAGACAGCACTTTGCGATCACTGGTAGCTTTTTGGAGAGCAGAGCATAATGACACAGAGTTTAATATTTACTGGTGGGGGGAGAGTATAGAGTATCAGCTATGTGGCAAGATGCTTATAGACAAGGTGCTCCTGGGCTGAACTGGTTTTACAGGGCATCAGAATGCAGCAGGAAGAGTTTCTGGAGCACTAACTACAGATGCACCCTGTGTAGGGTGCTGTGGGAAGGGAAATAAGCATGCAATTCTGAGCCAACCCTCAAGAATCAGACAACCTGAATGTTTGACGCGAGATCAGGGGGCCCTGGGAATTAACTGGATTTTAGGAAACAAAGATAATGTCTCAAATATCTTTGAAGTGGAAAAAGTCATTATGTGCTGTTGTTTGTAAAGTGATCTTTAAAAGGTATTACCAATGAGTTGCAAAATATTTGGATGGACTATGAAGCTTATCCGAGCATAGTTTATTTGACTTTTATGAACAGTTTATCACACCCCTGCTGTGTGCCTTAAAGAACGCTGCCCCTGAACAGCCAGGTGGTCTCCTCCTGGGGATTCAGGACAGGCTCATCATCAAACAGGACTACACCTGCAGGGCTCGGAGATAAAGACAATCATCACCTGCATCTCCATTTTCTAAGTCTTTCAAGAGGATATTGGTCATTGTCTTCTCTGTGCGGTTACCAAATGTCCGATTCCACTTACTGAAGTCCTAGGAAGAAGTCACCCCGGGAAGACGGTAGCTACAGCATTGTGTAGAAAAGCTGTGATCTGCTCAGCTCCAAGTTCCAACACACGTGTATAAGGTTTTTAGTTGAGTTCCAAGTAAAAACCAGAAGGCAGCTGTTTGCTGGGCTCCTTTGAAAAGAGTAGTAGAGTCCTAGCAAGGCCAATCTATTGGCCAGTCTGTTTCTAAGGCTTCAAGGTGTTCAGCCATTCAATTTGTGTGGAATAAAGCACTGAGCTTCCATCATCTTTAAACTCATTGATTTCTCATACCTTTTGTAGTTTCCCAAAGGCATTTTCTTTAATAGGCCGTCTGAATGGGTGATGGGTTCATGCTGGGATTATTCCAATGACCTGATAAGAAGTTTTTTTATGTAAGAAAAGAGGGCTCAGGATTCTAAATGTGCACACTCCACTGGGCAGCCTAAGATGTGATGGATATGGTTTTCTGGTTGACTCAAAAGCAACCCCAGCTTTGTCAGGAAGAGCAGGCGTGGTGGGAGCAATGCAACAGCATGGTGTGGGAACCCTTACCTGTCCCAAGGGCCCTGGCTACCCTGAGATAGTGTTAAAAATTCAAATTGCAAGGCAACTTTATTTTGCAATTAGATACATCACACAGGTTTAAATGAGGGACTATCCGTCATATTGGTAGGAATGCCAGGTAGGTATACGTTTAATAAGAATCACTGGCTTTCTTTCCAAATAGTTCCGCATCGTAACTATTTGAAAGTCTGCATGCCATTGAGTTTGTAAGAAGTATGTTAAATCACAGAGAGGAAGCTCAGATAGGACCAAGGCCTGGTTCAAGGCCATTTGGGATATCATGAGCTACAAACTCGCTATTATATGACTGGCTGATGTGCTTAGGATGGGTTGGTGGTGTGAGAACTTGAAAAGAATAACTGAGAAAGGGAAGTGGAGAGAACGTCACACTAGTAACCACAGAAAATCCTTGAAACCATCATTCCATAGAAAATCCACTAAAATGGAAAACAATGTTCACTCCACATTCAAAAACATTTCTGGGGAATGCCACCACCCCACTCCCATCTCCTTCATTTTCAATGCATTAGGAATTCTTGGATTTGGCAAGTCCTGAAACAAAAAAAATCTGATGACTTTTATTACGTGTAAAAAAATATCCAAAGGCGTTTTAAGTAATAGGACTAAATAGCTAATTAAAACCATGTCGCTTCAGAAGAACTTGTTACACTCATATAGGAGCATTCATCTAGGGCTGCAGTTATCTGGGTCATGTCTTGGTGAACTGTCCACTGTGAGCAGCCACTGTGGGCAGGAGGGTGAAAGGAATTTAAGAATAATTCATCACATTTTCTGCTCCAGGAGATGTGGCAAGGCAATTATCTTTGCAGAACATTAGTTGCACTTTATTATTAGAGCTAATTTTCAGTCTTGGCTCTTAACATCCCGTGTGTACTCTCAATGTCAGGAGTGGCTTTCTGTTATGAATCTTACATTGCTGCCTTCCACTTGCTGAATTATCAGTCATGCTCCTGGGCAGTGACGTTTGCTTTTCTTGCACTAGAATAGCATTCATGATGACCCAGCTTCTCTGTAAATTAGCCCCTGGGAAAATCTTGGCTCAATAACAGCTATTTCCCTATTTACACTTAAAACAACAAAATCAGTAATAAACCAGGAAAATTAAAACCATGAATGAGGAGTACATACTAAATCTAAAAGTCTAATAATATACGTTCTTGATCAGCTTACGTTGTATAACTAGTAGAAAAGACTATGAATCCACTAAAAGGCTTTTGTGTTAAGAATTCTCCTCTGGGAATAATGGCCAAGTGAATTGACTTTTCTATTCCGTCTGATCTAATTTTTTATGTACCTACAAACATAAACATGCCAGAAAGAAAAGTGACCAGAAAATGAAGCTGGTGTGAGAAGAAATTGCTGATTATGAAGGTTGTAAGATTATCAGTGATTCACAGACTGGAAGTCCACAGCCGGCACCTTTAAGGGCTCTCCATCGGCAGCTGTTATTGGTGCTGCAGTAATTGCTGGATGTCAGGGAACACTGAGTGACCAGCAATGACTGGAATGATGGAAGTGGGAGGTGAGGTGGGGCCGTGCAGTGCAACCCAGGGGAACAACAAGCGTATTTCTGCACAAATAACAACTGGTTTAAGCAGAGTATCCGACTGGAACAAAATTTCCAAAAAAAAGACTCATCAAAAAGAATTAGGGTAATCGTTGGAGATTACCAAAGGTTTATTTGGAATGACACAGCACTGAAAACATAACTGTTACAGATGATTTGTGGATACAGCATACACCATCTATTTTATTTTCGAACAATCTGTGAAGATGAGTTGCATAAATAGAGGTGGAAATATAGAGGAGCTGTTTTTATAGTGTTCTTTTGAGGGTGGATGAGCATGCCCCATCTTTCTAGCTAATCTCATAAAGGCAGAAGAGAAAACTACTTAGCTGCTCATCCCAACTAGCGTACCTCCAGCCACAGTGACTGGACAGCTAGATAAATCAGGCCCTGCTTTCTCCTAGGGGGCCTCAGTGTAGTCGTGCTATTTGTCATCTCATCCTGAAAACTGCACAGTACAAACACAGATACTGTTGACTGTTTTGGCAATGGGATGGCTGGTTTTGCCATGAGGCAAAACTGCAACTGTAATGCCAGACGGAATAAGAGCAATGCATGTATCAATGACACTTGAGAGGCAAAGAGCTACAATGGAAAGGAAAGAAAGCAGCTATGTATATGTAGCCTTCTGCATACACATAGATCCAGCAGTCACGGGAACTAGCTTGCACGACAGTGTGTCCATATATATATATATATATATATATATATATATATACACACACACACACACACACACACACACACACATAGATGTGTTGGAAAAGAACATTGCGAACTTTTGCAGCAGTTTAGTTTTAAACACAGTAAACCTGAAAGGGAGCGAGAGCACGTGCTCACACCTGGGCAGGGGAATAGAATAAGAAAATCTTGTACTACAGGATAATTCATCACATCTTCTGCAGGGCAGCCACTCAATACCATACACCTGATGCAGAGAAATTAAAGTCTGATCTGGAGAAAGCTACTTTAGAATTGGTGGGAGGGGATCAAGTACAACAGTCTCCACAGCTTGGACAAAGCACAAACAAACCTGTTACTGACAACATGGGAACGAGTGAGGATTTTTTTCCTTAATTTACTTTTTTTATCTTACTTTTTTTTTGTTTTTTGCACACATGCTCCACTGATACATCTTCCCAAGGTTTGTCTGGCATCAGTCTGTAAATCATTAAGAGCATAATAGCAAAAGTGAACTCTTCAGGTTTTCAAGAAGGTTTAAAAACCCAGTAGCTGAGCTCTTTCTTGCAATACTTGTTGCCCTAATCCAAGCGCCGGGTGAAGTTCTCTGGAAAGAGGCCTTTGTAGGTGGCAAGGTCTCTGTACTGAAGCCAGTCTGATTCCTTCACTCCCACTAGCCAGCCTGCATCCTGAAAGACAGTGACAGGGCTTTCAGGGTTCAGCAAACTACTGGAAAATCCACAATTAAATAATTTGTTACATTAGTGCTGTGGTTCTGTGCCAGGACATCACATTACAGGTAAAATGTTGTGCTGTGATCAATGCGAAGGCCTGTCCCAAAGAAGTTGTTAATTATAAAAAAAAAAGGAAAGAGAAAGAATAAACATTTGCAATGCCTTATTTACTATATATAGTTAATTGAAGACTAATATTAACATTATGACTGTACAAAGCATAGTTAATTGATATTAACTGGATTATAATATGAGTTCTTAAAGAGGAGAAAAGGATTAGAATTACAACCAGAGCAAAGACAGGAACACCATGTGAAAGCATTTCATGCACGAGAGCATTACCTGTTCTGGGGGTCACAGTCTAAAAAAGGTTTGAGGTTCCTTGGGTTAGAATGCAGTACTGATAAGGCCATGGAATGTCTTATATTTCATCCCAAGCCACTTGCTTATAAGAAAGAACTCTGACCCCCAGCTCATATCCTATTACCCTTATAAACCACCTATGTAGGGCTTATCAAATACTAAAAGCTAGATGTGTATTGCCTGATATTACTGTTGTTGTTTTTATAAGACCTAATTTTTCAAGTTTACATAAACTACAAAGCAGTTGGATGCCATGGCATTCTTGCTGGAAGCACTCCTATATTCTTTATAAATTATTCCTCATTAACATTTGTCTGTCATATAGAAGTGCCAACACAAGAATGAGACATTTTGCCCCAGAAAGGGTAAAGAACCATCCATGTACGGTCATGCAGAATGCGAGATGATCCTTAAAACTGGGAAACAGAGGCTGTGGTCTGCCCTTGGCTTACCGAAGATAAGCAAAGTATAGCTGGAAAAGCTGTGTTGAACAGAACAGGGGGAAGTGAGACCATAGGAAGTGCAAGGAGTGGAAAACGACTATCTTTATTATGGTAACCAGTGCAAAGGGAAATTCCACTTCAGATGAGGGATGGCCAGGCTTAGTCTGAACCAATCCCCAACAAAGTTCAAGTACATCAGATAAAATGAGGCCTCAAAAATTAAGTGAAGAAGCTGAATTCATTTCCTTTTGATATAATCTGAGACTATAAATTGATGCTGCCATATAGACAAGAAATATATGTGTTTAGACAGCCCAATTTTTGAAGTCAGGAAAAAAAACCGCTGAGGAAAAAAATGACTCAATAAAATAACTGATAATATCCTAGCTGATGAGGAAAAGTGCCCTCTTTAAAATTATGATGTCATATATGTGAAGGACAAAGCTATATTTAAAATAAAAGATGATAGCTAAATATTTTCTGAACCTCTAGAAAGCATATAAAATGTCATTTTCCCCCACAAGCATCTACATTTGACTTTATTTATAGTGAGTGAAACTCTAATGCAGCCAAGCGGAGTTAAACACTTAAAAATGGTTTCAATAAAGTAAACAAGTAAAGGATGACACAAACCCACAATCAAGATATATTCCAACACATAAATTCTGAAAGACAACTTGTATTGTAAAGTGAAGAATATTAGCCAACATCAATCCTCAGCTGAGGAAAACATAAAAAATTAAATATGAACTGCTTAAAGTACATGGTAGAAAAGGATTTCCAATTTTGGTAATAGCAGGATAGCTTGTATTAGACAAATCCTTCTGCACAGCATAATTAAAAACACTGGAGTAACTATATATTTCTACCTATATATACATATATGCAACCATTTATATATACAAACAACTCTTGGTTTTTCAATATATAAAGTATAAATTTATACATAATGGGTTGGGTATAAATAATGGGTACAACTATTTGAAGGCACGGGAAATGACCAAAAGCAAGCAGAAATTAGAGAGTATTTGACCTTTGAAAGTAGAGAACTGCACGGGGTGGGATCTGTGCTGACACAGTTTTTCCCATGAGTATTATTCTCACTCAGTGTGATGTGGGGCATTCAGAGGATATAGTGTAAGGCTGCCAGAGAAGCTGGACACTCATGGTGGTGGGCAGAGGGGGGGTTATCTTGAAAAGAAAGGAGCCACTGAGGGATGGGTGTCCTAATGTATGTAGATAAACTTCCTTGAAATTCTGGGCTGACCCCCAAGCTGTGCATGCATAAAGGGTACAGACCCATCCTATCAAAGTATAAAACCAACTCCCCAAACCAAGGTAATTGTCCAGTAATCTATATGTCTGCTAAAACAAAAATAAGCAATTTTCAGATATAGAAAACACTCTATCACATATGATTTACCTACTGTGTCTAGTATCAATTAAAAATTATTAGACATGGAAAAAAAAGGAAAATATTAAAAAGCAAACAATAGAAATATGCCCCGAGATGGCCGAGCTGTTGGAATTAGCAGTAAGAAATTAGGGCAGCTGTTATAAATATGTTCAAGTACATAAATTGAGAGACAGTAATAATGAAAGAATATAAGTGGAAATCTCAGCCAAGAAATGGAAACCATATGAAAAAACAATATGAAAATGAAGAACTGTAAAGTCTAATACCTGAGATGAAAAAATCACTTAATAAACTTAACAGCAAACTCAAAGTAGCAGAGGAAAAAGTCATAGTACTTGAAGGCAGATCAATAGAAATTATCCAACCTGACTACCAGAGAGAAATACTGAATAAAAAAGAACAGCGTCTTAGCCATCAAGAAGTCCAAGATAGGTATAATTAGAAACCCAGGAAAAAAGGACAAAGAGGATGAGTCAGAAAAAATTAAAGATAAAAAGCAAATGTAGTGAAAAACATTAGGTTACAAGTCTAAGGGGTTCAGTGATTTTTAAGTATGAAGACCATAAAAAAAAAAAACCCACCCACGCACAAAACATTCACACTGATGAAAATCAAAGATACAGAGAAATCTATTAAAAGTAGTCGGGGAAAGTCATTTGCTTACAGGGAAACAATATTAAACAAATAATAGCTGATTTCTAATTATAAACAACAGAGACCAGAAAACAATGAAACATGTTGAAAGAAAAAAAATCAACTCAGATTTCTTTCTTAGTGAAAGTATCGTTAAAAATTAAGAAGAACAAAGATATTTTCAGATAAATATAAGCCAAGAAGATTTGATGCCAGCAGACCAGCACTAAAGGAATAGCTAAAGAAAGTTCTTTAAGCAGAAAGGAAAGTAAGATCAGATGGAAACTCGGACTTACAGGAAAGAAGGAAGTCCTGGAAATGGTAAGCATGGTGGTAAATTTAAAAGACTACCTATTTTTCCTTTTATTTCTTTACAAAATAATTTCTGGTTAATGCAAACAAACCCATCATAAATGGGATTCTTTAATGTCTTTGAGATGTGTGATGCTCACACTTTTTCTTGGTATTGGTAATTTATGCTTTGTGAGTTTTTTTTTCTTGAAGAGTCTAAGGTTTTAACAATTTTGTTAACCCTCCCAAAAACCTACTTTTGGCTTCATCAATTTTATCTACTATGTCCTTTATTGCGTTTGTGAATTTATTTTTGTTATTACCTTCCTTCTATGAATTTTCCATTTAATTTTGATTTACTAATCACTATGAAATATTTTTTAACTTACAATATGATTTCTTGACCCATAAGTTATTTAGAAGTGTATTTAAAAATTTTTTAATCGTTGGCAGCTTGTAAAGATAGACTATTGTTATTAATTTTTTTCTTTTTGAGATGGGGTCTTGCTCTGTTGCCCAGGCTGGAGTGCAGTGGCATGATCATAGCTAACTGTAGCCTTGAACTCCTGGGCCCAAGCAATCCAATCATGTCAGCTTTTTGAGTAGCTGTGACTACAGGTGCACAATGCTACAATCAGCTAATTAAAAAAAAAAAAAAAAAAGTACAGATGAGATCTTTCTATGTTGACCAGGCTGGTTGGGAACTCCTGGCCTCAAGTGATCCTCCTGCCTTGGCCTCCCAAAGTCCTGGGATTACAGACATGAGCCGCCCTGCCAAGCAGATTAGTGTTATATTAATTTCTAATATAATTTTATTGCAGTAGAGACTGTTTGACCCACCACCTGATGTATCTTGGTAAGTGTATTATGAAAAGAAAGAACAAAATGTTGAACATCTTAAGTCTTAACCTCAAAGGCAGTGATGCTTGACTTTTTTTTTTGTTATTGCATTTTAGGTTTTGGGATACATGTGAAGAACATGCAGGATTGTCACATAGGTACACACATGGCAGTATGATTTGCTGCCTTCCTTCCCATCACCTTTATCTGGCATTTCTCCCCATGCTGTCTCTCCCCAACTCCCCACCCCCTGCGGTCCCTCCCCTATTCCCCCCCACCAGACTCCAGAGTGTGATGGTCCCCTCCCTGTGTCCATGTGTTCTCATTGTTCAACATCCAACTATGAGTGAGAATATGCAGTGTTTGATTTTCTGCTCTTGTGTCAGTTTGCTGAGAATGATGGTTTCCAGGTTCATCCATGTCCCTACAAAGGACACGAACTCATTGTTGTTGATGGCTGCATAATATTCCATGGTGTATATGTGCCACATTTTCCCTGTCCTGTCTATCATTGATGGGCATTTGGGTTGGTTCCAGGTCTTTGCTATTGTAAACAGTGCTGCAGTGAACATTCGTGTGCATGTGTCCTTATAGTAGAATGATTTATAATCATTTGGATATATACCCAGTAATGGGATTGCTGGGTCAAATGGAATTTCTATTTCTAGGTCCTTTAGGAATCACCATACTATCTTCCACAATGGTTGAACTAATTTACACTCCCACCAACAGTGCAAAAGTGTTCCTATTTCTCCACATCCTCTCAAGCATCTATTGTGTCCAGATTTTTTAATGATTGCCATTCTAACTGGCGTGAGATGGTATCTCAATGCAGTTTTGATTTGCATTTCTCTAATGACCAGTGATGATGAGCATTTTTTCATATGTTTGTTGGCCTCATGTATGTCTTCTTTTGTAAAGCGTCTGTTCATATCCTTCGCCCACTTTCGAATGGGCTTATTTTTTTC